CCCAAACCTGGCGGGCGCAAGCCTGGAAAATAACGGCCACGGCGCCCTTCCGAAACCCGAACACGGACAATTCACTAATCGACGTGTCACTGTTGGGGGTTGTCCACCCCCGACCCTCTCCCCTCCCCTCATCGTTACAGTCGAAATTAGGCCAGGGAGAGCACGAGCCCCTTCGCAGAAGGCCCAAGGACCCGAGGACCCAGTCACTATCCCTAAGCGAAGAGCATTCCGAAGTGGAGGGCCCAACACGGAGGCTGAGGGTACCCCTCCCAGGCTAGGCTGTGCTAAACCCTCTTTAAGGCTGCGTCCCTTAGTACCACATATATATATGTATATATATATATATATATACACATGCATGTACACATGTGCATCTATATACGTATATGTATATATATATAAAGGTACTTGTCGATGTCTATGTCTATGGACTCTTGTATATACAGAACTCCAAGGGCACGTGGTTCGGTCAACCTTGGACCTCGCAAGATGCCCCCCCAAAACTCCGACGGGTATCCGCGGACTTTGGGAAACAATAGTTCTCGTGGGGCACCTGCGGGCAAGGCGGTTATTGTTTGATTGATGTGCCTACTGTGTCCTCCCACTCTGCCAGCTAGCTTGCGGATGGAGGTTTGATTCGGGCCCTTCCATCCGACCCATCGAGAAGCGATGCAAGATCAACGATACTCTTTATAACACGGACGTTTCGTCGTCGGCATTGCACGATGCGTGGCAGGAAAGGTACGCGGCACGCATCGCGCGCGAAAGTGCGACATGTCGCTGAGGCATCGGCGACGAGTTCACTTTATCTGAGAACCCTCAGTGGAGCTCCCGCTTTGGCACGGCGCACACTTCTCGCCCACCAATTCCTCGACAGCAGGGTCGCGTGCGAGAAGGCGAACTCGTCGCTCTCGCCTCGGCGCTGAGCAGATCTCGCCTGGACGTGGCGCTCCCGCTTGGGCCCGGTGCTCTTTTTCACCCACCCCACTGCCGAGGGCGGGGCCGCGCGTTCGAGCGGGCGAATGGTCGCCCCCGCCCGAGGTCCGTGCGAGTTTTCGCCTGGAAGGGGCGGTCCCGCGCCAGTGCGGCGCCTGCTTTCCAGTCGCCGGGTCGCGGGAAAGCGGCAGGAGGAGGAGGAGGAGGGGGAGGAGGAGGGAGGAGGAGGAGGAGGAGGAGGAGGAGGAGGAGGAGGAGGAGGAGGAGGAGGAGGCGCGAGAGCGGGCGTGCACTGCTGGCTCTCGCCCACGGCGCCGCGCAGACGTGCGTGGAAGCGGCAGTGCTGCGCTGGCGGCGCCGCGCAGTGGGTTTCTGGGAGCTCCACCCGCGCCCGTGCTCGGCCCGCCACCCCCAAAACGGGGCTAGGATCCGGATAAGTCGCTCCAGAGCGTCCCGGGGCGCTCTCAGCGCGTTCCGGAACGCTCTGGAGCGGCCGCGGCGCCCAATACATCCTCCAAACCCGCCGATTCTCAGAGATCTCGAGTTATCCCGATCCGATTTTGGCCCGATCTTCGCGCCGCTTGATCCCCCTCCCCTCGCCCAGTCGTCGGAGGCGGAGCCGCGCGCGAGACCGTGGGCGAGCGCCTTCCGCTCGCTGGGTGGGAGCGCGCCCCGGTCCCAAGTAGGTCGCCGAGTGAGCTCCGCGCATCGCGCCCCGCCTCGCGCTGGCCTCGTCGCGCCCTCGCTCCGCCGCCGCCCCGAGGAGGGGCGCCTCTCCGGCCCAGGCTCCGGTGCGCGAAGCGCGATTAGAGCCTGTTTTTCTTTAGATCCAGGCAAGCTTACCTGCATGGCGTTCCCCCCCCCCCCCTTCTCCCCCCTCGCCCCTCTTCAATCGAACACGAGCGTGCAAGTGCCTTTCGACTTGTGTGATTTCCGCACGTCGAATTGTTCTCGGCTTGCTTCAGACTCAGCCCCCCCCCCCGTCCATGCAAATTCGCCGGCCCAACGGGCCAGGGCGTGCTAAGATCTCCGGTAACTGGTTAACAGTATTAACAGTATTTCTAGTTCGCGCGCGCGGGGCGGCCCCTGGGGGTCCCCCGGCGAAAAGTACCCCGACCAACGCCCGGTCGCCGCCCGACCGCCGCCCGACCAAGTCTACTCAGAGATGGTTTTCCTTCTGGGTGCGGCCTCTCAGGCTCCCCAGAGCGCGCTCAGAGTGCCCCAAGAGGCCCCCAAGACTGCCCAAGAGGCCCCCGAGACGCCCAAAGAGCGCTCGAAGACGCCGAAGATGACCCCAAGACGGCCCAAAAGGCCCCCAAGACAGCCCAAGAGGCCTCCAAGACGCCCCAAGAGCCTTCCAAGAGGCCTCCGAAGAGAGCCCCAAGAGGCCAAAATCGTTGATTTTCATTTGTTTTTTTCGATGTTTTTTGTGTTCTGGCTTTTTCGGCTTCCGGACGCTCCAAGACGGCCCAAGAGGCCCCCAAGACCGCTCCAAGACGGCCCACGAAGCTCCCAAGACGGCGCCGAAACGACCCAAGAGAGCCCTCAAGACGGCCCAAGTGCCGCCCAAGACGGACCAAGAGGCCCCAAGACGGGCCCAAGAGGGACTCAGGAGGGATACCGAGAACTCAAAAATGGAGCCCTCCGTCCCAGAAGGCGCCCAGGAGGTCCCAAAGAGGCCCCAAGAGGCCTCCAAGAGGCCCCAAGATGTCGCCAAGAGGCCCCAGGAGACTCCCAGGAGGCCCAAAAGAAGCCCCAGAAGGCTTCAAACATGTCTCCCAGGCGCCCCCGAACGGCCTCTCAACAGACCCCAAGAGGCCCCCCAAAGAAGCATCTTGACGACGACTCTATTTCGCCCCATCGAGAGACGACCCCCAGGGAACTGCTTCACCATCAAAACTCCCCACGCAACGCGTCCGAACGACACCCGCCCCCAAGAGCGCAACATGGGCAACGAACACACAGACAAAAACCAGCGATGCCATATCACGGGCCGGCGGAATGAGCGAAGCGATTCAATAAACTTGCCCGAATCCAAAGAAAAACAAGCACTTACCTTCGAGCCCCCTGGGGGTTGGCCCGGCCCAGCATCGAGTGGCGATGCCGTCGGCTCCGGTGCGATGGGAGGGCGGGAGTGCACGGGTGGGGCCCGCTGACTCGGCCGGCCTGGCTGACTTGACTCCCTCCTCCGTCGCCCCTCCTCGCTCTCCACCCCTCTCGCCCTCGCCCTCCCCCAGCCTCGCCCGCAGAGAGCCAGGCCCCTGTCCCCCCACAAGCCTGGGGGCCCCCGAGGGCGTCCCTGCCCCTGTCACCGAGGGGGGCCCCCGGGCGTTGGGGTTATGGCATGGGCCTGGACCCCCCGCGCCTTTCCCCCGGGGCCGCGAGCTGCGCTCTGGCAGTCCCGGGCCGCGTAGAAGGCCCCGACAGGGGACCCCAAACGGCGACACGCGCTCAAGACCGCTTTCCTCCTTCCCTCCCTCCCCCCTCGCTCCCTCTACAGAGGCCAACGGAAAGGCATGTAGCGTTTCGTGGATGTCCCAAGCTCGCCTGCATGGGCGGAGTCGGAGCGGACAGTGTCTGGTGGCATGGACGGAACGGCTTCCATTTCCGTTTCCTCCCTCTCTCCCTCCGTCCCTCCTCCAAGATCAATCAGCGTCGAACCAAGAAGTCGAATCGAATCGGAACGTGCATCGGATCGGAGCTCATCGGCACGGAGGCGGCATCGAATCAGATCAGCCGCGCCGAGATGCACAGCGACTCCATGCAACTGCCAAGCCGCACCGGGATTGTCAGGGTGTCGGGAGCGGCAAAGAGGGGGGTGTCCAAGAGGGGGGGGACGCAAATCATGACCGGCGGCATGCGCGCGGCCCAGCGGGGGGGCCTGGGACGTAAGAAAACAAGAAGAGGCGCCACGAAATCTGGGGAAAAATCATGGCCCGCGCCATGATATCACCCCCCCCTAATCATCACCCCCCTCTTTTCCGCCCCCGAGGGTATCGGAATCGGGTCAGATCGGGCTGGCCGGAACCGAAGTCGAACCGCATCGATCGGATCGGCGTGAGCCCTGGCCAAGGGCCCTTCGGTTTTGGGCCAGGCCTCGGGTCTCTGGCGGCCGCTCGGGACGAGGTGGGCACCCCCCGGAGCGATCTCGGCGTGGCGCAGCTGCTCAACCCGAGGCTGGGAAACCGCCGAGAACGGATGACAACGTCCCAAACCCCTCTCCCTACTACCACTACTACTACCACTACTACTACCACTACTACTACTACTACTACTACTACTACTACTACTACTACTACTACTACTACTACTACTACTACTACTACTACTACTACTACTACTACTACTACTACTACTACTACTACTACTACTACTACTACTACTACTACTACTACTACTACTACTACTACTACTACTACTACTACGACTACTACTACTACTACTACTACTACTACTACTACTACTACTACTACTACTACTACTACTACTACTACTACTACTACTACTACTACTACTACTACTACTACTACTACTACTACTACTACTACTACTACTACTACTACTACTACTACTACTACTACACTACTACTACTACTACTACTACTACTACTACTACTACTACTACTACTACTACTACTACTACTACTACTACTACTACTACTACTACTACTATCCGCCGATGTGATTTTTCAATCCGCGGCCCCAAAGGCCCCAGCCGCTTCCCCAGGAGTGGTATCTTCCGCCCTGGATCCAAGCAGCGGTCCACGAGGGCCGACATCAAGCAACAACCGCCAATCGAAACACCCACATCGTCGGAAATCAAAGGCTATGCGCAGAGGCCTAACGGATGGTGTCGGAACAGATGGTGTCGGAGGATCGCGCCGCATCGTCGATGCATCACCGATGTGTTGGCGACACGATGCAGAACATGGGGCTCCACATCGAGCCGCATCGCCGATGCATCGGTCCATGCAGCGCGATCCTCCGACCCCGTCTGCTTCGACCCAATTTGGGAGGCCTAGGCTGCGAGCCCCCGCCGGGTACCCCCCCCCCGCCGGGAGCGCCTCTCGAGGACGACGCCCGCGAGCCCCCCAGGGCGCTCCATGGCCGCAGCCGCGAGACCAGCGACTTCCCCGGCGTGGACACCCGGGGGATCAGGGAGGAGATCGAGCCGGACCTCCAGGGGTAGTTCATCAGGGGGGGGAGGTGCAGAGGGGGGGGGCAGGAGGGAGGGCGGACGAAGGAGGGAGCAGGAGGGCAGGTGGCCCCTCTCCCTTCTCCTCGTCGTCGTTGTCCTCCTCCTTCTGCTCCTCCTCCTCCTCCTCCTCCTCCGCCTCCTCCTCCCTCCAGCGGACCGCGGTCCCGAAGAGCTCCAAATTGGTGCCGCCGCTAAATCTTGCCCGCTTCGAGCCCGGGGACCGTAAACCATCGTCCTGGGATGAGAAAGCTGCCACAACTTCCAGTTTGGGGGCGCGCAAGGGGCTGGTCCGGTCTGGAACGTGCGCAAGGTTTGCGGCTCGCACTGGCGGTCAGCGGTTTGGCAAGCTTGTTGATGCAAATCGGGTCCTTCGCACGTCCACATTTGCAGCGGTCACGGCATGCCGGATCGAAACGAAGCTGCCCAGACGCTTCTGGAGAACTGCGTTGAGCTCCAGGGGCCTCCATATTGTCCAGCATGATTATTCGGCGCATTGTTTGGCGATTTGCAGCGAGCGCGCTGCCAAGCGCAAGACAAATTTTTGCTTGGCCGAATGTGCAGACACGAGTTCACTGTGGTGCGCATGTGGTCGTCGGTATGTGAGCGCCCCTATATGCCGGTCAATGTGTTTCCGTTAGATTGGGATGTATGCTTATGCCTATGTGCTGGAGTCCGTCTTTCCAAAGACGCGCCATCGCTGAGGAACATACCGTGCAACCAATGTGTATTGCATGTGTGCCACGTGTTAACGCTTGAAGTGTTCGTAGGCCTGGCAGTGTCTGGGATCGCTATGGAAGCATTCTCCTAAACGTTGCGAATCGTCTTTCCAGTTCATGCCCGCGCGTCGATGCCCACCTTTGTCTGGTGGTACCATGCCAACGTGTCATTCGTGGTGTGCAGCCACTGCGCCAAGTACACAAAGGCGGGTGCCTCCTGTACACCCTCGGGGGCGCAAATGTTCCGTCATTTCTCCGTATCCGTCTCCGCCTCAGGGGCCTCATCCCCGCGTGCCTGGTTTCTGTACCCCCTTCCCCCGACACCGTCTAAACGCATGACGTCACGTACCCAGCGGATGACGACGTGACCCTCCCCTTAGCCGAGCGCCTTCAGCGCCGTTGCCCTGGGGAGGCCCCTTCAGATTGGTTGGGACGTCTCTGTGCGGGAGACGGGTCGGAAGGTGAGCACTCAAACGGCCCAACATTTGCAAAGGTGTGCCTGGGCGTGGGTCGAGGTCCAGGGGGTTCTGTTGTACGTATGAGGAGCGCAAGCCTAGCAAGCAGGCGCCGAACAAGTAACGGAGCCGAAGTTAACGCCTTTTTGGACTGTTCAGAGGACTCCATTTTCCTCACAGATAGCTCGTAAGTCGAACGAGGGTGGCACAGCCTGTTCGGCAGGTCTAAGCCGAAATCAAATCGGGACCTGTGGCACGCTGTCGCTTGCAGTCTCGGAGGTGTACCCCCACAGATATGTTGCGCGAGTTAAGGTCGAGGGTCACGTATACTCGGATCGATTCAAAGCCAATGGCCTCCCAGACTTGCTTCGCCTTGCTAACCAAGGAGCTGATCGGATCGCGGGGTGGGAGGCCTCCCAGTGCCAGGTCTCTCAAGAGATAGCTGACGGCGTCTCAAGTATAGATGCCCACACGGATTCAGTCTCGTCTCGCAGCCACCCTGATCCAGTCTGCCAGCCACGATTCCAGGGGGGCAGAGAGAGAGAGAGAGAGAGAGAGAGAGAGAGCGGGCCAAACCGCTCGAAGGCGCTGGGGAAATCGGCTTGTCCCGACTCGAGAAGGCTGTCGCCTTCTCCCCGCATGGCCCAGGCTTGCAAACTTGCAGATCTCGAATCTCTTGCACCACTTGCAGACGGGAGCCTGCTCGCAGCTCAGTCGCCCAGTGGCTTGGCACTCAATGCAATTCGACTGATCATTTGGAAGCCCCTTCCTCCTCAACAGCGCGCCCCGTCATTATCGGCGACCAGGAGGTGCACAGTTCACGCGCGTGTCCATGTTTTAAACACGCACATGGGTGGGCGTGCACCAGTTGTGGGGCCATCGGCTTGGATCGTGCCATCCAAGATCTTGTTCAGGAGTGCTTGCGCAAGATACTCCAGATTTGATTTCGTAATAAAAGGGAGGGGGTCTCATTTCGGGGGGGGTCTCTGCCAGGCTGTCTTGGAGGGCCTGGGGGGGTCTGGGGACGGTGTTTTGGAGGGTTCTCCCACGGGGGGGGTCTGAAATGGCCTGTCTTGGAGGGTCCAGACCCCCTCCCTTTTATTACGAAATCTATCCTCCGAAATGAGACCCCCCTCCGAAATCTGGAGTATCCCCCGATAGCCTGGAAGAGACCCCCCCCGAAATGAGACCCCCTCCCTTTTATTACGAGATCTGGAGTATCCTCCGAGGGTGAACACAATCTGTGCAAGCTCCGCAAAGGGGGCTGCTGCCAAGGGCCTCTGCCCGCGCGCACGCCTCCAACGCGAAGACCCGCGCGGGGCTGGGAGCTGTGGCCCACGTTCCTCCTCCTCCTCCTCCTCCTCCTCCTCCTCCTCCTCCTCCTCCTCCCTCCTCCCTCCTCCCTCCTCCCTCCTCCCTCTGATCCCTCCTCCCTCCTCCCTCCGACCCCTCCTCCCTCCCCCTCTCTGTGAGCTCAGCAGGGAGCTCTGTGCAACATCTTCAGAGCTCTAGATTGGTGCCGGCGCCAGATCTGGTTACTCGATGTCGGCTTCTGGGGGCCTGATTCGAGCCCCGGAACCCTACGCCATCGTTCTGGGAGGCGGAAGCTTCCGAAGTTTCCAATTTTGGGGCGCGTAAGAGGCTGGTCCTTCCCGAAACGTGCGCAAGGTTTGCGGCTCGCACGGGCGGGGAAAGGAGACGGGGGTGGCTCTCTGAGAAAGCGGCGAGGCTGCTTTGATACCTTCCAACCTTTTAGGGTGCCTTCTGAGCCTTCTCAGAAGGCGACTGGAAGGGGGGGGGCTTCTAATACCCCCCCCACGTTTTTTGGAAGGCTGCCCTCATCTCTCTTCCTCCCTGGGCGTGCCGCCAACAGGGGGGCAGATACCCTCGCCCTGCTGGTTGCCGTGAGCAGAAGAAACAATATAGATACTGTTTTGTTATTGCTGTTGTTTTGTTGCTATTTGGTTGTTTTGTGTAGTTGTGCGTTTGTTTGTTTGTTTGTTTGTTTGTTTGTTTGTGTGTTTGTTTGTTTGTTTGTTTGTTGGAGTATTTGATTGATTGTTTGTGCTTGCTTGTTGTTATGACCGTCGTCATTGTTGTGGTTGCTTCTGTTGCTGCCGTAATTGCTGTTGCTGGTGTTGTGTTTGCTGCTGCTGCTGTTGCTATTGGTGTTGCTGCTTTGGTTGTTGTTGATGTTGGTATGGTTGATGCTGTTGTTGTCGTTGTTGTTGCTCTTGCTATTATGGATGTTGTTGTTTCTGTTATGACTATTGGTTTGCTGATTCTGTTGCTGCTACTGTTGCTGTTGCTGTTGCTGTAGCTGTTGTTGTCGTTGTTGTTGTTGTTGTTGTTGTTCCTGTTGCTGTTGTTGCTGTTGTTGCTGCTCTTGTTGTTGTTGTTGTTGTTGTTGTTGGTGTTGTTGTTGTTGTTGATGCATTCGCATACCAAAAATGATTATTGGTGATCCCCTTTCTCCGGTAATCGTTGTGTTTTTCAAGTGAAGTGCTTCTCCCGTGGCTCGCACCCAGTTCTTTACAAGAGAACGCGAAGTGCCACCAAGCTGTGCCCCGGACCCCCGGGTCACAACAACAACGGCTTCCGCCTGATATTTCCTCACATGTTATTCCGAAATCGCGCTTTCGCACGGGACTGCCTTACGATGTATGCAGGGATCGCGCTCTCGCGTGGGACTTCCTCGCAATTTACTCAGACGCCGCGCCCTTGGCACTCAGGAATCACGCTCTCGCTGCGGACTTCCCGGGATTACTTTGGGAAGTGCGCTATCGCTCGACAGTTCCGCGTGATTTAGTCAGGGCGCACGCTTCAACAACCCACCTGCTCGACCTGGCCGTCGAGGCCTGCCTTCCCGACCCGCCCTTGAGGGTCTACCCGCCCGATCTGCCCGTCTGTTTTTGCCACGTGTTTTCTGTTCCGAAGCCCCTCTTGCTGTTCCCTGTCGTGCTCCATCCTCCCCCCTCCCCTTGCCCCCTTCTTCCATCCGTCCTCTCCCCTCTGCCTTCGGGGCTGCGCGAAATACGAGTTGCAGGTGAAGACAAGTGCGCCCCTAAGTTGGCACGATCGAATACTAAGAAGGTGGACATCGAGGGTTTGGGATATACGTGTTGGATGACACGCGAGCAGATGAGAGCGAATTTTCTTAAAACGGTTGTTGCATTTGTTTCGGCAATTGCGTCTGTCGCTGCTTTCGTCGATGATACTTTTGCTGTTGTTGCTGCTGTTGTCGTTGTTGTTGTTATTGCTTGTAGTTGCTGTTGCTGTTGTTGCTGTTGTTGTTGTTGATGTTGTTGAATCTTACTTGCTAAGCACTTATTCGCTGCTGGACACCGTGAATGCGCTGTCGCGCTTTCGCCTAGGCGCGGGCTGCATTCCCCCTGAAAGTTAGGCTCGCGATCAGGCGTTTCGGGGGTGCACCAAAGCCGGCCCCCCAACAACAGAAACGCTCTGGCTCGATACTTCCTTCTTTCTCGCTCGGGGCTGGGGCTCTTGCTCGCCCACCAAAACCGACCTTCAAGCAGAATCGGCGCCCCCGCTTGATACTTCCCTGCTTTTCACCTCAGGGCTGGCGCTCCCGCCTCAGGACCCCCTGCGAACAACGACGCTTCCGTTCGATACTTCCTCCGCTTTTACTCAAGACTTCCAGGAGGCCCTGCGGCTTTCCTGATCCATTTTGAACCTTCATTACTCAGCAAAAATGAAACAGTTATCGTTGCTGGACACCCTGAATGCGTTTTCGCGCCCTCGCGCATGCTCCGCACGACCTCGCTCTCGCTCGTATCTTGGGGCGTGG